AGTAAGCACAAGATGCCGAAAACCCTTAGCAGGATGCAGCGCACCCTTCATGCAACTCGCCGAATATCTCACGGCGCTTCGCGCTTGGTGGTGTGATAGCCTGGTCCGGTGCGAACCCGGCGTGCTCCGTCCCGGCATTGTAGGGATGCGAGGTCAACGGTCTAACGACTACGGCATGCACGACTATGAGTACACCCCCCCCCCCGAGTGTTTGCCATCCGTGTCGGGTTTTCGTAACTTGGCAACGATGTTGTAAAACAAGACCCCCCCTCGGTGTTGTGAATGGTGTTCGAGTAGATCATGTTGTGCAGGGTCGAGAAGCCTGACTCCGCGCAAGGGGGATGATCGCACCACGCTGTGTTCAATTGGTCAAGCATCCTCGGGACAGTTACACAGTGCTTACAACTGTCTCTGGAAGTGATAGCACCAGAAAGAAAATTAAGTCATACGCAGCTGTCATTCGTTCGCAAGGAAGTATAGGCACAAGATGCCGAACACCCTTAGCAGGATGCAGCGCACCCTTTATGAGACTCGCCAAATGCCTCACGGCGCTTCGCGCTTGGTGATGTGAGAGCCTGGTCCGGTGCGAACCCGGCGTGATCCGTCCGGCTTCGTAGGGATGCAAGGCCAATGGTTTAACGACTACGGCATGCACGACTATCAGTACACCCCCCACCTCGGTGTTGTCGGTTTCAGGAATGCTGTTTGCGGATGATTTTGTCGGTATGTCGGACACCCCTGAGGGACTGCAACTGCAAATTGACGCGGCGAAGAAGTTTACTCATAAGTGGAGATTGTCTGCCAATGAGAAGTAGAGTGCCGTCATGGTTTGCAACGAGAACAAGGAGGAACCAGTAGAACATAGATGGAAGTGGGGGATCGAGGAGATTGCAGTAGTGGACCAGTACACATACCTCGGAGTAGAGATCGCAAAAGACTGCTCGTGGAATGCACACATGTCCAAGGTAGCGGAAAAGGGCAAAGCACGAGCAGGGAAGCTGCACCCAATACTCGCAAACCGGCACCTCGATACACGCATCAAATTGACGGTTTTGAAGAGCGTAATCGTACCGCCGCTAGAGTACGCCGGAGAAGTATGGGAAGAATACAAGAAGGAAGTGAAAAAACTCGAGGCGGCGCAGATGAAAGCAGCGAAAATCATCCTAGGACGCTCCAAGCGCACAAGTAATGCAGCCGTCAGGGCAGAATTGAGGATCCGATCCCTACGGTCGGGAAGAGACGCGAGGAAGCTGACATGGCAGTATCGCATGTGAGGGATGGGAGAGGAGAGGATGCCGAGAATTGTATGGGAGGCGAAGTGGGCAAAAAAAACAGGGGTAGAAAAAGCCACGGAATGGGTCAAGGTTGTAGAGGACGAATGGAAGGGGCTCGACATCGACGAAGAAGATGAAACGCTGCAAACGGAGGGTCTAAAGGGGTTCCAGGACGTGGTATACGATATAAACAATGTGAAGAACAGTTGAACTATCTCATACAGGTTGAAAGGCACACCCTATGTAAACAAATCAGGGGTTTCTGACTATCCAGGCGCGAGCCCCACCAACCCTCGTTTTCTCTCCCGTGTCCAGTTCTGTTCAGCAACCATGTGACCTACTGCCTAACAGTCTTTTGATCATGTTCGACGACGGGCCACGATGAAGTCCCCGTCGGCATGCCATTCTCCTCACCAGCCCTGCCGAAGCGTCCGTACAGAGACCGGATCTTCGTTTTGTTGCCACTTGCTGTCGCACGAAATTCAGCCGATAGGCTATGGCGTGGTGCAGGTTGTCTCCAACCGTTCGATTCATTCCATTACTCCGACCCCTTCTTCCCGTCTCTGACTCGGCAAGGTTTTGCTTAGGCATGAACCATAGCGAAGGAGGGGTCTTTCTAGTGAGCAGGGCTAGACTCACCCTCAGGGACCTAAACCGTCTTGCTGCGGCGCACCCGCCGCGAGGCGTGCGTAGTGGTGGAGTTGGGTCGGCCCTGGTGCGTCAGGTACAAAGGTGCAGATGCGCGGGCCTCCAGGCCGTCGGCGTAGGCAGCAATGCCCATTTCACCGTTGTGCGCGGAGGCAGACGCCATCAGAAAGGTCGATGGGCACTACGTACGCGGCCCTAGGTTTGCTAGAGGTACTGTCTCAGTAACCTGGTTTTGCCATCAAAGAAGGAGGGGACAGGTGGTGACGAGCTGATTGGGCTGGTTGACCCTTCGGCGCGAGAATTTTGAGACCAAGAACCCTAAGTGCAACGAGGGAGAATGCGAGGAACCGGCTGGGAAGGACAGCAACGAGATCGTGTACGGAGCGGAGCGGGTCGAGTTTGGTCGTGCTGGGACTGGCCACAGCGGCACCGGATAAGCGGCACCGGAGCAGCGGAACCGGAGCATGCGGACGGCATCGAACCGTGGCGCACGGACAAACATCTCTTGCGTTGTCAAATATATATATATTTTTTTCTTAATATGACACAACGAGTCCATCTCTATCATAGAAAAGAGTCAGAGACAGATTAACAATGGAATCATAGCGTCAGAGAAAACTACCTGTGTGTCTACGATTTCCCAGACAGCATATAGGGACATCTCCCCTGTGGGTAACAGGCTCAACAAATCAGTTTGGTAGCTGTCTTGTGTGTCTCATATATGTTATGTTGGGAAGGTGCAGACGAAAGGTGTTGGGTACTGTTGGGTGGTCGGGCGTTTTGTGTGTCGCACCCTATTAGTTCTAACACATGCAATCTCCATCAGTTTACAAACATATTCTCAGTTTGGTATGCATATGTGCGGAGTATGTGCGGCTGATGTGCCATCTCTATCATAGAAAAGAGTCAGAGACAGATTAACAATGGAATCATAGGGTCAGAGAAAACTACCTGTATGCCTACGATTTCCTAGACAGCATATAGGGACAACTCTCGGGTGACAGGCTCAAAAGATCAGTTTGGTAGCTGTCTTGTGTGTCTCATATATGTTATGTTGTGGAATTTCATGTCGTTAAATGTGAGAAGGGCACGGGAGAACATTTCTCATCATTGCCTCCTGATGACGTGGTCGCCGATAGAGGCGTGTGGTTGATGAGGTTTCATAACCGACATGTGGGTGTGTGTTAAATGCAGTGGGTGTGTTCACCTCTCTCGTCCGTGTGTAGGTAGGAGGTATGGCTACCTCTCCCATTTGTAGGCAGCGTGGACCATACTTGTAAATATAGACAGAGTTCATCATTTCATGCATGTTACATCATTTGTGTTTGACAAGGGAGGAATGAGAGGTTGTGCGTATGGGTACGGGGGTACTCCCTGTGTCCGTGTTGTTCCCAGATGTTGCCGCATCAAGTGGCAGCATGTGTCATGGACAGGTAGACGTGGAAGGACGGCGACAGGTGAACGGCAGCAGTAGTATGTTTTGCATGGTGGCATGTTGGGCTTGTGCAGAGGCGCAGTCCATCTTCGACCACACACAAAAAAGTTTGCTCGTACCTGTGGGGATTTTTCGAAGTCCTGGGTCAGCCAAGAGCAGCAGCAAGGAGCAAACGCAGTGCAGTATACTCTACAGCTTTACAGTCCGTCCTCCTCAAGTCCTATCGGAGATGATTAGTATCGCACAACGGCTGGATCCGAAATGCCGGCTAGCTCCGCAATCCAAGAGAGGTGGGTGGCTGAGCTAAAACCGGAATGACTGCATGCGTGCTCCTCTCAGCGACGTCGCTGGCTGGCTCTTTGAAGTTCAGATTTCTGGTTCAGCGGAATTTGATTCCCAATTCTTCGTTGTCACCTGGGTGTATGGGAATTTTTGAGAAAGGTGTACAGAAATTGATTATCCTAATTGCAAGGGACACGTTTCATTTTCAGTGTTCCCCCTTGCGGTTTCGACGGTTAAATATGCGGTTACCCACAGATTTTCGCATCGCTATAAGCTGTCAGGCTCCTGCTAAAGTATGCGTGTACAATTTATTTATTTATTTTTGCGGTTTTGGAATTTTGGTAGCGCTAGAAGCAATTTGAACATGATTTTTATGTCATTATTTATAGACAGGCGTTCTTATTTTGCACATAGACATGTAACGATATTTGAACATTACACAACAACACTACTCCAGGAATTGCTCCACAAAGAAACGGGACACTACCCAATAAAGGAAAAGAAAATCGCACGCAGGCTAATCTACCAAAAATTCCTTCGTATCTACTCGATTCCAAATACCCAACTCCACTATGAATTCCGCACCATAGGTGCATTTACACCCACGATGTTTGCAGTCACTGGCGAGGTACGAAAAAAG